ATCACACAGAACGTAGGCGGTTTGATTGATCTAGGAAACGAGCACGTATTGTACAATTGGACGGTTTTGAAGATTAAATACCGCATAGTACAATAGTATTTTACATGTTTTGTTGTTGGGTGGTTATAATTTACTATTTCTAAGGACATGGAGTGTTTCCCTTTTTTGTGATTAGGGGAAATGGTGGACTTATATGTTTCTTGTTGTTACACCGCGGCTTTTCCCATTGATGTAGGTATGTATCCGGTTTTATACAATTTGTTGTTGTTGGAAAACATCTATTAAAGAAGTTTTAGTAACAATGTTGAAGACAATTGAAGACCTCAAAAGAAGCTTCAAAAAACAACTTTAGATCTAAAAAGAAGTTTCAGAAAGCAACTTTAAAGTTTCCTAAAGAAGTTGTCAAAACAATTGTTTTAAAAGAAGTTGGATTGTTTTAAAAGAAGTTGCTACAAGAAGTTTCAGATTTTAGTGGTATCTAAATGATCTTTTTGGGCTCCTACACACAGTCTTTCTAAAAAAAGCCAGCCAATGTGATTTGCAACGAATCTCGGTACCAGCTGATGGGAACTGCATGTTCCACGCCCTTGCAGCACATTGTGCCTTCTCTCATCGTGAACTTCGCCTTGCATTGGATCTTCGAGAGCATATAAGTACATTCGCATCCTTTTTTACGGCAGATGAAGACATCAATGCTTATCTCACATCTATGGCGCAGCCTGGAACTTGGGGCGATTCCTTGGTCTTAACTGCAGCTGCGGAGCTTCTCCATGCGCTATCCATGTTGCTCAGTCACATGGTATACATATTATCACACCTTCGCACGCAACTGGTGACCCTGTCTGGGTCGCATACGACGGTTCTACACACTATGATTCGGTGAACATTCTTCATTGTTCTCTACATGACATCGCAGTGGCTTCCTCTGAGAAGCCTTCGAGTGTTAGTGAACTCTTTGATCCGTCTTGTGTTGCAGCTCCTGTTGTAGATGTCCCATTCTGATTCTGACTCATGGGTGATCATGTCTGCTAACATCACTAGCTTCAATTCGCAACAGGATTCTTTGCTGGAACTTCCCTTCGATATTGTTGCTATTCAAGAGACTCGCCGCACGTCCAAAACGCAACAATTCTACTCGGCTTTTCTGAAGAAGAAAGGGTTCAACTCTGTCTGGGGTAAGCCTCAGCCTTTTCGTGCTGCAAAATCATCCCTTCATTCCAGCACTGGCCTTAATGGTCGACCGGGCGGTGTTGCCATTCTGGCCAGTTCGCATATACCCTTACAGTTCATTCCTCCTGGTGATTGTCCTACCCGGAAAAGATTATTTCATTCGTGCAGGTGGACACATGCTGTCGCCGCGGACGGCAATGGTAAAAGTCTGCTTCGCAATTTTTCCGTTTATGGTTTCACTGGCCACTACGGTCACTCAACTGTTGCCGAGCTGAATGACTCTTTTCTGCATGATCTTCTTGAGCTAAGCACTTGGACGTGATGCCCCGGTTCTCATCCTGGGTGATATTAATGTTGAGCCTCAGGAAAGTCCAGTACTTTCTCAACCACTAGCAAATGGTCTTATTTGTGACCTGGGTGCCCGATCGGGGCCTACGTTTTATCCCTCGCATGGCAAGCCTCGCAGGATTGACGTGGCCTTTGCAACTAAAGGGGGAACTATTGGGTGTTCCTTTCGACTTTTTCAAATCATTTGGTATGGTGCCCCGAAACCTGACCTTTCAACTCGCCCGTTTTTTATATTTTTGACGACAAGCCTTTTGAATGTGGGGGCCTCAGCCCTTCTTTTAAATCCTCCTGCGGCATTTCGCAGGGATGTCCACTTTCCGTTGTCTTCCTTATAACTTAGTGTCCGTCTGTGCCTCCACCATTCAGTCAGTGACAGTGGACACCTCAAAATGGCAATTTGACCTATAGGTTTTGGACGTCTGAGGTGCACGAAATGCTGCGCCTGTCGCCTGTCACGTTTCGACGCCGCCGCCTGCACCTTAAGAGAGAAAGACAGAAGCGAGCGAGAGAGAGAGAGGGAGAGAGACAGGATCTGCCGATCTGAAGATTCCGATGTGGATCTACAGATGTATACAACGGCTGCTTTTTTACGAAGAACCCTTCGCAGGCGCTCTCGGGAACAACAATGTAAAGCAATCAAAAATGCAAACAAAAAACCAAGCCTTTTGAAAGTTGTTTTAACTTACAAAACTTCTAATTACTTACAAATATTAACAATTTAGACAGTCTCAGTATGCGCAGACTGTAAGTTAACTTACAAGTTTTCTATGTGGTGGTGTTATTATTGCTGTATATACTAGTTTGTAAGTTCCATAACCAAGAACCAAGTAGCGTAGCTGTCGTAACGTTGGTGTGCTCGGTGACACTGGTGGCTCACCCTGAGGAGTCTCGCGGACTCTTCACAGAGCCTAACCGAACCCGACAACGACGACGCGTGTCAAATTTGTTGATTTCTTCCTGCCACGCGCACCACCGGTACCGAGGAATGTTCGGCGCCACCGGCCCTGCGATGTGGGGTTTCTGAGAGGCGACCCGGCGACTGTTCTGTAACGTCTGACGGAGTGACGGATGAGCGCAGCAATCGGATCGAAGAAGGAAAGGGCATTATGGGGCAGCAGTCGGGTCCGAGACGGCATTATGGGGCAGCAACATGCCTGAACAGATTGGGGGATTTGGGGCGACAGTTTCTAAGCAGGATCCAAGCAAAAACAACAGGCCAAAATGTTGCGATTGAAAAAGAGGCGCAGTATTGTATGCTTTTAATTTTCTAGAATAGAACATCCCTACAATCTCCACAGTCACATGAGTTCAACGTTTGCAGAACTTTCATTGCTCGCTGTTGCGCCGGGTGAAAATATAAACAAAAGTTTTTCAGCGCATTTGTCATTCTTTGCGCCATTGGTTGCATCATCTGGAACTGAGCCAGCCCAACCCTCAACGACTCTGAACCAGCCGCACCTTCCGGCCAGGCAACGGAGTGCTCCTAGCGGTTCTCGGGCGCGAAAAAGGATCGAGTGGGCGGTGGCCAAAGAGACTGGAATTTTGACACGTTGGATTTCATGTTTGGGATGTGCTTCAAAATCTCAAGCTTCATCAAGCACCAAATATGCCAGGTGATTTTCCGGTTCCTGGCAATTAATGTATATTAGCTGATGTGCCAGCGTTCTTAGCAACCCAAACAACCCTTTCCTTGAGTCAGAATAAGGACACCATCAGCCACGGGCCAGATTCACACCCAGAGCTTGAACATTGGTATTCAGAAAAACAGGTGCACAAAAAGATGACTGCCCCCTGAGTTTGGAGAAAATGGACGAAAGTTGTTCTCCTATATGAATCTCGACGGGGGGACCATGGCTGGCCGGTGCCTTCAGATAGCTCGACGGTCGACGTTTTTCCCAAATGAAGGGTTTTCGTTTAACTCTCGGTGTCTGGGGGAATATATATAGAGCCTTGCTCGCGACTCGTTGTCTGAGCGACCGCAGCCGTTCGCAACCGTTCGCCGCCGTTCGCAGTAGAGCGCTAAGGCGCTGCCATTGGGGGAAGCTTTGGGAGAGGTTTTTGGATGGAAGCTTGACGTGGCAGATTCGTGTGAAATAACAAATAATAGCGAGGACACGCGTGGATACGTAAGATGTTGAAGTCATGGAGGATGATTTCACTGCGCAGGCGCAGCGTTCTGCGCCGTCACATTGGGATTGGCGTTTGGAGAGTGGTGTTGGATGTGGCTGTGACATTGGGATTTGCGGTCAGGGTGTCGCGGCAAGTCTCTGCCAAAATGGCGATTTTGGTGGATGGGAGTGTGGTCAGAACGTTTTGAAATCATTCCAAACGTGTGGTGTGGTATGGTGTGGTGCAAAATTTAAATTGCAACCTCACATGATATGATATTGTCAATTTTCGCGGCAGGCGCAGTACTTTGTGCGGGTTTTGAGGTGTGGAGGTACGATTCTCGTGGCAGGCGCAGGGAATCGTGAGGTTGCGAGGTGTGGTGGAGGTCACATTTCGTGGCAGGTGCAGTGGAATTGCTCCGATGGGGCTTCCCGCTTTTGGAGGAAGTCTCGTACGAAATGCTCGTTTTGAAGACTTGACGCGTGACTTTGTGGAGGAAGTCTCGTACGAAACGCTCCTTTTGGAAACTTGACGCGCGACTTTTGGAGGAAGCCTCGTACGAAACGCTTGTTTTGCAGACTTCAAGACTTCAATTCAAGTTTTTGAGGAAGTCTCGGTCTCGTGCGAAACGCTTGTTTTGGAGACTTGACGAGTGAATTTTGGAAGAGGTCTCGTGCGAAACGCTCGTTTTGGAGACTTGACGCGTGACTTTTGATTGGAGGTTAAGTCTCGTACGAAACGCTCGTTTTGCAGAATTGAAGTACAACAATGTCCGACCAGAGTGTCCTTCGAGAGTGTCTCACAAGAGTGACACAAGAGTGTCCCACAAGACTGTCCTACAAGAGTGTCCCACAAGAGTGTCTCGAAAGAGTGTCTCAAAACAATGTCCTACAAGAGTGTCCTACAAGAGTGCCCCACGAAAGTGTCCTACAACAGTGTCCCACCAGAGTGTCCTGCAAGGATGTCCCACAAGAGTGTTCTACAAGTGCGTCCCACAAGAGTGTCCGACGAGAGTGTCCTACAAGAGTGTCCGACAAGAGTGACATACAAGGGTGCACAAGAGTGTCCCACAAGAATGTCCTAAATACAAGAGTATTTTACAAGAGTGCCTCACAAGAGTGTGTCCTACAAGAGTGTCCCGCAAGAGTGTCCTACAAGAGTGTCCCACAAGAGTGGCTGACTACAAGAGTGTCCCACAAGAGCGTTTCCGAACAGTGTCAAAAATTATTTGGGTGTTTTTGTCGAGTACGTGTTTGCATTCGGGTTCGTGGGTTCCATCTTGTGTTTTTTTTAAAGCACTGGACAAAGAAGTGATGATGAGGTGGACATGACAAAAGACCAGGGCCCCATGGAGCAGGGCCCTTTTTGATTGCGGAAGATGAGTGGTTGGAGGTGGAGTCACTCCACTGGGGGTTGCTTTGCTGACACACAGAGGCTGTGATGTGACTTCACCATCAAAGCATTCAGCTCAATGGGCTGCAATTCATTCATGTTTTTTTGGCTCCAAGATCTAATCGTTTCATTTTGGGGGTGTCTGGGCTGGTGCGCAGTGTGCTCGGTCGCGACATGCAGGCCGGAAGGGAGGGAAGGTGAAGCCTGGTGGCTGGAGATGGCTGGAGATGTTGTTTTGGAAGCAGAGGATTTCAACGTCATCCAGAGCAAACTTTTTCCAAATATTTTTCAGATTTTCCATCCATCGAGGACGTCGCCGATCGGCCCACGAATCAGCCGATCGGCTTCTCTCCCAGGTGCGATCCATCAACACACGCCCGACCATGTCCACCGGCGAGGCGTCCTTCTTCGGGGTGCCCGAAGTCCAACGGAACAGCAGGGAACTGCGAGTTATTTTGCAACGAACACCGAAAGGCTCCAACTGGTTTCCTACAAATTCCAACATACATGTCCATGGTTTCCAAGAGCTTCATTGAACACGACATGCATGACTTGGGGATGTCGGAGCTGGGATGAACGACACCTTCCCCCTCAGCAGTCCACCGTCAAAGCCCGCAGGCGGCGAACGTCTTCGCGGTGAAAGAGGATCGCTTCCAGGGGCAGCAACCAAAATGATGGAGTATCTACAGTATCTATAGATGTGGTTTCAACAAATTCAAGTAGATTCGATATACTTGTATAGATCACAGAATCCGGTGGCTTTTGTGTGTTCCTCTGGAGCTAAATCACATAATTATGGATATCCATGGATATCCCAAGAATCAAGAGACCCCATCTACTCATCAAGCACTTCCCCATAGACCTGCCTGTACCTCACGCGCGCTTTTTGCACGCGAGGCTGCGCGTGTTTGGGCCACCTCCGTCAGGGCTCGGCAAAATCTCCCCGCGAGGCCCACGCGGTGGAAGCGCGGTCGACCTAAATGCTTTCCTTTCAAACGCTTGCCGCTTGCCGGTGCTTCCTGGCTTCCTGCAAAAATACAGACCGCTTCGATTCCTGTACCAACCCCCTTGCACCCCGGTTAAGAAGCTCTTGATGAAGCTTGTGAAGGTTTGAGTTTCGGATACTGGAAACACATTCATTCTGTCTCACAAAAGTTTACTACTTAGCACCCCTTCCAACATCGACCGCTTTTTGCTCACTCTTGCCAGTGAGAATGCCAATTGATTAAAGGAAAAACGGAATCCAGCGTGTTCCAACGGCCTTTTTTGATCTATCTTTGTCTATCTTTAGATTATTCAAAGTGAAGGGCCATTTCCATAGACTATGTGCATATGCTACCTAAATTGTTTTATCGAGGGACTGACTGGGGTCCAGAGAACTAAAACACCTAAAACAAAGATAGCAATGTATGATATATATATATATATGTATTTTTACGTTAGGACTTGTTGTTTTATGTTTCTTTTTTAGCAACCCGCACAACTAAGACAACTAAATAGTATGTTGTTTTATTTGTTTTTTATATTTTGTACATTTCTATATATGCCTGGACACCTAGGAACATGAACGATTTTGTTTGTTTAGTTGTTTTTTGGGGTGTCCGGCAAAAAAAAAAACATCTAGATCAACATCACTAATTTTATCAAGAGATATCAACAGAGTGTTCCTTTCTGTCCTTCGGCCTTCCTCTCCTTGCTTCCTCCTTACGCCTTTCCTTGACTCGAAAAAGGACAGATGATGCCACTACGTTAGGCCAACAAGAAGCTGACTTCCGACAGAAGATCATCTCTGCATCCCACAATGTCTGGTAATTAATTACAAGTGGTCTTCCAGAGAGATGGACTGTGGAAGGGTCAGGGAAGATGTTGAGAGAATCACATCGACCGAAAAATCACCGAATCACCTGACGGTCCATGCCAGATGGTCCGTGCCGAAGCAAGAAGATTCACTGAGTGTGGGGAATCTGACTGTGAGTTGACATGTTGGGGAAGGTTGGGACTTTTTCTTTCTAGAGACATCGTGCTGGGCTGTTCTGGGAAGTCCTACAGGAGGGGTGCTTTGCATGGCAGCAGGGACAGAGGCCTTTGCACCAAAAAGAGGCTGATGTTGCGTCGTATTTGGGGGCTTCGACCTCTTCTGCCTAGTGGATCCTAGTGGTACATGGTTAGTGCACTTGATGAAGCTCAATCAGGAAAATTAGACTTCTAGTCATTCTTCTCTGATGGTGCCTTGCGCGTCCTCACCCCTGATTTGCCTGCTGGATGTTGACTTTGTTCCGGCCAGGTGGCTGATTCCAGTGCTGGTGGCAGCGCCCACATTGCCCCTTGACATTTGACACTGCCTGGCTGTGGCGTATAGTTGTTTTATGTACTCGAGTTTCCTGTCCAGAACAAGAAGCGAAAGTGATGTGTTTGTATCCGTGCTTGTTGTGCGATCAGGAACTTCAAACAGACTTTGGCAGTTCTTCTGTGTTCCCCTTCCGCAGCTTAGTAAGAATCTACAATACAAACGCCAACTTTGCAGTGTTGAGGTATCACTTTGTTTCTTCTTGCTTTGAGTGTTTTGTGGGCAAGCCTCTTGTCGGTTTCTTTCGGTATTGTCGAGTCGCGCCTGCTTTGGCAGGTACTCACGCAGGCAAAGGCGCAAGCAAGCTTGCACGTGGGCCAGTTGTTGAATAGTTGAAGCGCGGATTCACGAATCAGATGGCCTCCATATCTGCAGGGAGCTCTATCATGACAAGGATGGGCCGGAGAGAGAACATCGTATCATATAACGTGCATTAAACTAATTTGTTCAACCGTTAGGTCCAGCATTCCAAAGAGACATCATGTTGGGAGGTGTTTGTTAAAAGACATGCTCTGGATTCATGTGCATTAACATGTTGGCAAGAGTGTGCCAGTTGACAGTTGGTCGTAGCAAAGAGGAGGGTTTGCAGACAACCAAGATCACCATGAGCTCTATAGATGCATCATCGTGCAATCAACCATTGATGAGGTGCATGTTCGACATTGCGTTTGATGGTTTTTCATGCATGTACAGGTCCCGTGGTCTTTCTCTTCCAACAGGCCTGGATCGAATTTGTTTACTCATGTTGCACTTATAAAATCGAGCGAGCTCGGTGTCCGACTCCCAGTATCCAGTGGGGAGTCGAGCTGAGGCATTGGTTCCACTACAGAAAACCGTAGATTAGATCTTCGTTTTGATTCAGACCATTTTGTGTTGGAATGCAAGCTCAATATTTCTTTCCCTACATTTAAAAAGGATAATGCGCCACGTACGTCGCGATATGCGAAACCTGACTCAGACAGATGGATTTTCTACAATAATAACATTCGGTCTTTGCTAGAGGGGAAAAGATGCGACTTGGATTCACTCACAGAGGCAATGAAAAACGCGGCCGCAAGCTCACTAAGGATAGAACCTCCGAATAAAACGAAAAAACATATCCGTCAAAGTACTTGGGCAAAAATTGAAGAGAGAAACGAAAAGGCCCGAAACGGAACCACAGCAAAGGAAATAACGAACCTCAACAGGGAAATTGCCCGAATGGCCCGGAGGGACAGGCAAGACCATTTGATAGAACAATTCAATGAGAACCCCCAAGATCCCAATAAGAAAGGTTTATGGAGAGCGGTCAAGGGATTAAAACAGAAATTCATACCCAACTATGTGAAAATGAAGAACATGGATGGTCAGCATGTCCCTTTGGCCCAACGCGCTGAGACTCTAGCGAACTATCTAGAACAAAAACACTGGAGCAACCAAGCTGAAAACGAAATCAACCACAGCAAACTTGTAGATAGCAACGATGCAGGAGTAGAGAGTTTCACAATACAAGAGCTCTGTGCAGCCATCAAGGCGGCAAAGCCCAATAAACAACCTGGCCCTGATGGTCTAACTATGGAACTGATCAAGTGGCTGGACAATGCCAACCGGCGGGTTCTTTTATCTGTTATCAACAGCTGGTGGAATACAAAAACTGCGCCGTCGGCATTGTTCATGGCCCGTGTTGTCCCTATCTTCAAGAAAGGGGATACAGATATTGCTTCCAATTACAGACCAATCTCCTTACTCAACAGTTTCTATAAAATATACATGGTGATGATCAGGACCAGAATGCAGGCAGCCACAGAGCATCTACTGTCTAAAACCCAGTACGGCTTCAGGCCCAGCAAGTCTACTTCACATGCCATCTATATTCTCAGACGAATTCAAGATTATTCCGAAATTAAGGGGGGCGAAGCTGAGCATTGCCTTCCTAGATTGGGAAAAAGCATTCGATAAAATTCAACATGACAAGCTTCTTGTTGCCCTTGGCCGACTGGGTTTCAATTCGCAGTATACAGAAGTCATCGCAGACTGTTATGCAAAGCCTCAGTTTTATGTCAAGGACGAATTCGGTTGTTCCGATTTTAAAGTTCAATCCTCTGGGATCCGACAAGGTTGCCCACTGTCACCTTTCCTATTTGTATTAGTCATGACCTGCATCGACATTGACATTCAACAAAGTATTTCCGCTTATGTGACAAATAATCGAATCCCAGGGGTTAATTTTGACATGATCTATTATGCAGATGACACTGTACTTTTCTCACGGAACAACCGAGCATTAAACGAATTGCTGAAATTGACAGAAAAGATCTCCAGTGGATACGGACTTGGTCTCAATAAAAACAAATGTGTTGCTATCACTATGAACAACGACGGTTGTATTCATTTTCATGACGGGACCCCTTTGAACAAAGAATTTGAGGCCATGTATCTTGGAAATGAGATAAACAGGACAGTAAATATAAAACATGAAATCCTCAATAAAATGTCAGAGGTCAGAAGGACCTGGTTCAAGCTCAGCGCCTATTGGAAAGCTTCTGGAGCCAGCAAAAAGTGGAAGCTAATCATTTTTGATGCCATAATCCGGAGTAAGCTTTTATATGGGTTGGAAACTATACATTTAACCCAGGCGCTAAGCAAATCACTAGATGCTTTCCAATTAAGAAGCTTGAGAAAGATTCTCAAAAGACCGCCTACTTTCATAGATCGGTCATGTACGAATCAAAAGATTCTTGAGGAAGCAACTGCCATTGCCTTCCCAACTCGGGGCGATTACAGTTAAATTATACGTTTCAGTGATTACCATATGAACAGAAGATGTAAATTACTTGGGCATATAATTAGAAGCAGTAATGATGACCCCATGAGACAAGTATCATTCGTTGATAGCACTGCATCCAGAGTTGATTACGGCACCAAACGAGTTGGGAAACCGAGGCAAAACTGGCTGCATATCACAAAGAAATTTGCATACGAAAACGTTTTGAGACATCATAATTTCGATGAAAACACCGATGATGCAAGAATATATGCAGCCGCATTGAACAGAGATTTTTAATTACCGTTCTTTGGCTGTGCCAACGCCTTGCAATAAGCCCGTCCGGACCAGGTCGGCGCGAGGTATGGCTGGAAAAAAAAACAGAAAACCGTAAACATGGGTTGAAATAGTGTTCGTTTCTGTGTCAAACCAATCGATCGACTGGATTGGACGAACATGAAATGGTGTCGAGGATCTGAGAATCCTTGCGGTTCGCCCAAAAAAACCCTACTTTATTGGTGTCGATTGGTTTCGCTCCAGATCAAGAGCAAGAACAAGAGCAACACGTTTGGTGCAGGGTCAACATGTTTGGAGGGTCAACACGTTAGGAGGGTCATAACAAGCTCAGTCAGTGCATCTCTGAATCTTTATATATATATATATTGGCATTTCCACCTGAGATCTGCAGGTGTGTGCGCTTGTCGCTGCGCCCCTTCCGATGCTAGGCGGGATCGCCGGTGGGTACAATGAAGCTACACTTGGTGGATGGAACATGACGTGACAAGAACAACATATACAATACATAATAAATGAAGGTCTTACCTTTGCATGTGAACTTCTGTTTCGATGTGCAGGTGTGGGTCAGAAGAAGAACTTGGAAGTGAACATCCCATTGCGTTCACTATTCTGTTCATGTAGAGGTGTACATGTGAGACGAAAGGGGACCAACATGTATGTCTCTACAATGAAACACCCTCTGACGGGGTAAGCTCCGTAGCCCAGTACGAAGACAATCAAATTGGTTTGAAGGCAGATGCCTTCCTTGGTCGGCCCCGCTACATGGTAGGTTGCCCGCATACGTCACCATGAGCAAGCTGAGTGACACCTGCTTTGGAGGTCCAACCTCAAAAAACCAGGCCTTCTTGAAAGGCGGTTTGATAGATTCTAGGATTAGTCATGTGAGTATTGTTATAGCATCCTATGAATAGATAGAGAGACTACAGCGCTGCACTTTTGGGAGCTGATTCTCCACATGAACTTTGTCGTAGCAATGAACCAGTTCCGGGTCTTTTCGTTTGAATGGCGGCTTTCGAACTCGGAGTTGTGCAGGTCTAGCAATGTGCTGAATGAGGCATCTGCCGAGGAGGCACCGGAGGTTCTGGTTCAATTGAGTATTTGTTGCATTGAATGGCCTCGACAGTTGACGCACAACTGAGGATCCGAGATCATTCATTGGCCTCCTGACCAAGGTTCCATACTGATGTACCTCCCTGACTCAAGCAAGCCCCTCGTAGCTAGATTAGTAACTATAGATATAATTAGGAATACAGGTGAGTCCGGGCTTCACATGAAAAGCCCTTGCCAGCAATCAGATCGGTGTAAAAGAATGCTTGAGTAGAGCTCCAAGATTCACTGTTTACAGAGAAGTTTTGCATCCTTGACAGGCCAACCAGCTTGCTCCGACAACTGAACATCATGGGCGAACCATGGGTCTTCTTCGGGTCTTCTCGACATTTTTTCCATCTGAAGTTCCCTCCAGGTCATTCGGAACACCTCCTGTCCCAGCTGTGTTTTCTTGCCCACATCTCCTGGACTTCTGGCAGGAGTTCCTCCGGCTGAGTCAAGAAATCAGCGAGGAACGGCCGACATAAGGAAACGTGCCAAACCGGTCGAGGCGGTCAACAGACGAGGGTGCGGTCATGGTATCAAGATGTATTCAGTCATTATAACTATGTATATAAGTGTATATATATATACATTATACATAGATATAATCCAACTCAAAAGACGAGAAGCTCAGGTCTGAAACCAACTGATGAGAGACTCTAATGGAAAACTCAAGGAATAAGTAGCGAGTTTGGTTGGAGTGCTTTTTGAGTCTGATTTGAGTCTAACTTAAGTCTAATTTGAGTGTAATTTGGGTGTTTTGTTATTTGTTGAGTCCATACTAAAATGGATTAGACTTCAAAAGAACTCACACAAATCTTAAACAAAATATTCTGAGTTGCTCGTTCAGTATTTATCAAGTTTTGAGTTTGTTGATTTTTTTTGAGCATGCTTTTTAGCTTGGTTCGAGCTTTGGTTTTGGGTGTGCTTGGGATTTGAGTTTGTTTCGAGCTTGTTTGTTTGATTCGATTTCAGCTCTGTTTGGTCTCTATCTTTTGACAAAACTAGATTAGAAGGTGAACATCCCCAGAACATCATGGTCACTAGAGAGAAAGTCTTTAGGATTCCAAACAAAAAAATGAGCAGCGAGTGAAGACACGCTTCGTCAAGACCTTTTCACTGGACTCGTCTACCTCTTCACCTTCTTCAGACATGTTGACCTGGGTGGCTTGAACACTGATTACACATTTTGGACATGCCAGCCGAAGTGTTCTTGTTTTACTTTATGAAAGGAGCTAGCATTAATGAGCTCCCAGCTTCCTGGTAACACCTGAGAATATGGCTTTGGGGTGTCAATGCTAATGATTCATTTCTCCGCTGCCCAGTCGCAAATTTGTGTCAGAAAGATTTTGAAAGGACCATGAAACCATACTTGCTTGGGCATGTCCGTCCCAGCATGCCTCCCCCAAAAAAGATGCAAACGCACGTCGTGTATATACACCCTCCAATCGACTCGTCCATTTCATCTCTCCATCCAATCTGCTTGAATTCATTATGTCTTGCAGAAGTTGTTAAAGATCAGATCAGATCTGGGAACAGGAAGATCTGATCTGTTTGAAATGATTTTTAAGACAGATCATATCTTCCTGTTCCCCCTTTCTCGTTCCTCCACCCCATTTCTTGCTACGGAGAGACAAACGGCGCCAGGCCATCGCCACGGACGATGCGCCGCGGGCACAAAAAGCCCAACGGGAGCTCCGCCAGGTGCGGCCGTCTTCCGCCAGGGTCGTTTTCAGACTGGAAGGGTAGGTGTGACCACCCCAAGTTGGAAAGGAACATCCTTTCAAAGTTCGTTGGATTTCGTTGGTACGGCAAAAGCAGTGCTGTTGCTCGCCTGGGTGTGTTTGAACCTGCAGCTTTGTGGGAAGATATGACAACGGGTCAACGGGTTGAACAGGATCCACCATTTGCCACAGCTGCGAGACCGCAGGAGTCCTTGATCAACCAGGGACTCCGAAAAGAGGAACAACGCCTGACCCCTCGCAAGAGTTGAGCTCCTTCATGCTCCTTCATGTCCTTCACGCCTCCTTCTCTTCGCCTTTTCAAAGGGTAGTGACGGGTAGTGTCGACCAGCATTTTCGTGTGCTGGGTTTGCTGGGTCGATCGGTGTGCCGGGTCGATTGGTGTCTCCAGTTCTGACGAGTTCAGGCTAGATCCGTGGAGCTGCGCTGAATCTGCAGAAAGTTATCCAGGATCCACATAAAGAAGCTACTAGTAGCAAGGACACTACTAGGAACAAAGGGCATCGCTACGAACGGAGCAAGGACGCTACTAGTAGCTCCTGACCGCCTGTCCTTACTAGTAGGAACGAATAGCTAATTACTAGGAACAATGACGCTATGTTCGGTGGAGGCCATCGCAAGTAGGTTGGAGGCCATCGCTACTAGTAACAATTAAGAAGCAGTATTTACAGGAGCCCTCAGCCCTCGGGCATTTCGTTTCTCCATGTTTTTCCTGTTCCATCACATATGCATTTATAGACATACGGTGTATGCTATGGCAAACTCCAGCCGCGGTGGTTGATTTGTCCATAAAATTAGATCCTGGTGTGGGATCCCCCAGCAAGCTTCATTCTATGCTGCGGAACACTCCACACCTACAATATCCAAATTCAATCAATTGTCCGCCATAACAATCCTTCCCTGTACGAACCATGGGTAGACTGGGTAGACGTACCACATCCAACTGGGTTTTCTCACTAGGCCCTCCACTTCACCCGTCCCATGGTGCACCACTCCTTCCTCTCAGATACAGCTGGAGAAGCCGTCCCTGGCCTGTCGGCATCGGATCCGGGAGGTCGGGCGGATCCGGGGGCTCTGGAAAGATGCAGGGTAGGCAGAAACTGCAGGTGATCCTCTATATAATAGTGTCGTTCAATTGGATCAATTTGAGTCTGTCAGGCTGGGATCTTCCAGAGCATATTTTTGTATGCGCAGACAAGGTAGTGAATTGATGTAATCAATACACACATCTCTGTGTACTACATCTACCTATCCATACCTATCCCACATCGCTTAGAGACGGGGCGCTTTTGGTTGGTCGAGACTGATTCAGACCCTCGCAGAACTGCATCTCTGCGTCCACCCTTTTGCGCTTAGGCGGGTCGCTCGACGACGCGAACGGCTTCCGGGTACCGTTGAACCGTTGGGTGGGACACCTCCGCGGCGTTTTCGACCTGACGTTGTGAAAGTTGGCCAAACGTCACAAGGTGTGAAACAAGGTGAAACCTTGCAGTTCTCTGTCAGTGACCTTTTTGTTGTGCAAGGATTCTAGGAGCCTCTGGAAGTTGGAAAGGTCCCCGACTGCCAAGTTTTATCGGCTCTTCAGGCGATCGGGAGTCCATCCGCGTGCGAGTGAATGCGGTGAAGAAACTGGGGAGGCAGCGATGGCTTGGTCGATCTGGGATAGGGAGACCGGGAGTGTTCCACTCAAAAAGAATACCTGAGGGAATATATAGGACATAGTAGAAACAGGTCGGAACATAGAACATGGTGTTTTTTTTGTTCATCCTTCTTCTCGATGGTCTCAAACTTTACCGGGATGTTCAGTCTTCACTCCGCAGTTTGAGATCCTCGTTTTGGCCATTTCTGGCAGCCATCCACCCACAGCTGCAAGCTGAGTCTGGTGTAGGGTCTCCCCTCGCCCGTGGCCACGGTTCAAATGCTCAGCGGCCATCGGTTCGGCCAAATCATCGATCGAAATCGAAGGGAAATCGCCATCGGTTGGGCCCGTGGCCAAGCAACCGCCGTGGCCGAAGCCGGGCCGTTCTACACGCGGTCAGGTGGCTTCGATGGCCGCAAGCTGCGAAAAAGGCGAGGGTCGGTGAATTTGAGCTGGGCAGATCGGGGCGAGCCGGGCAGATCAGTTCCGTTATCCGTCATTGATCTCATATGTTTTCATGGTGGATAGATAGAGAGCTGCATTATTGTATTAATCTCCTTTCATTAACAAAAAACAAACATATTTTATATATATGATGTATATGCGGGTGAAGTGGCTTTTGATTGGATTGATTGTTTACGGTCTTTTCATTTAGCAGGGTGCACCAAATAGCCAAAGGTGAATCAAAAACAAACTAAATATATGGTAACCTGGAATATCCTGGCTGTGTTTTTCAGCATGGGGCCCAACAGTAGCATCTGGGCGATTGCTGATGTTTGCCTTGTTGCAGAAGTCATTTGTCTTACGGAGCTTTTGAACTTGTGCCTGGCGGGTGCCGCTGGTTGGAGCGGCAGACGGTGATACAGCTGGTTTACCATGCAGAGGGTAAGCAGCGCATTGGAATTGCTTGTGCTGGTGCAGGAGTGTGGTGGTGCAGCTTGCACGATAGTGTTGCGACACTTCATTGAAAGCTTCGGCGCAGTATGCTCCATGGCAAAAGGTTTGTGCACGAAGTTTCTTTCTCGGCAACACTGGTGAGCATGTGCAAGTTTGGATCTTGGCGTGTGCACGTTTGGATCTTGGCACGTATGAAATGTTGCTGGCGTTCGAGATGATGATGAAGTGGATGCTCTATAAGTAGAATGAACGGCGACCAACACGTCCTCTAGGACAGCGCTTTCCAACAGAAATTGCAGGAGCAAATCCGGGTAAGCCTTGCAGTCGAACAAATTCCTATTAAGCTCAGTGCCTTAATGGTCAAAGACAAGGACAGCGTGTAGCTTCCAGTCTCACAAGATGTTTTTGAAAGCTTGCAGCGGCCTGGACGATAGCAATGATTTTTTGGAGGCTTTGGGCTGTGGTCCCTGGGGTGATCTAGGGGCTCCCTGTTTCTGGGTTGGACCTGGAGGGTGTGCTGTTAGTTTTTGCTGTTGTAAGTCCAAAAGAGGAGCGGGTGCTTATTTGAGGGGTCTCTACAGGACAGAGACTGTTCCTTGTCTCCGCATGTTCATTGCCAGCATACCATTATGTAAAATATTTGGGTTATGTCTTTTGTTGCTTGGCCGATAATATGATTCAGTGTCCCCTACCCCCATTGAGAAAAGCTTCATGCGAGCGTCTTCCCTGCCCTGGTTTTCATGCATATATTATATTGCTGAAACTTTCTGAGATTTGCAATGATGTGGCAGCAATGAACAAATCATCAGCGTGTCCAAGGCTGTGTAGAACAGCCGTTTCCACATAGTGCACTTACCCAAGCTGCGCAACTTCCAAAAATTCCATCCAAACGTTTTGAATAAAAGAGCATAGACCAGGCATTATATGAGAAGACTTTAGGCCAGTCATAGCGATGTGAGTGATGTTGAGAAGAAGAACTGCGGAACACCCCTTAAACATGTTGGGAACAAACCTACCGCAAAAACAACATGTTCGGCACCAACTTTACCCGAACCTTACCCGTAAAATATGTGCAAATCGGGTTGGCCAAGTGTGTTGGGACAGTTTTATGCATGAGTGCAGACCAATGACCTGTTCGAGGGAATGATTCCTACGGTTTGGCCAAGTTGAAATGGAGAGAGTGGAAGGGCCCAAACATACTGCAAGCCCAGCCCAGCGGCTTGCCAGTAAGACCTCATTTCTTGGCCACGGGGTTGTAGCAAGTTTTAATCTACCTCTTCTAACAGTACAAATACGATCCTCAAAAGCTTTCTTGGAATGGGTGAAGAAGGGGAGCCTGACCAAAAGTCATATTTTTTCCAGGGCCTTTGGTTGCAGATGTTTACAGTATCTATTTTGAATCTTGCGACATTTGTAGAGGTGAATACCTGCGCTATGTGCGACCACGTTTTTTCGTGGGTGTCTCTAGGTGTCTACCGTTCGCCTGATCCCATAACGCTCAATCAGCGTCGACAAAGAACGCGAGAAACACACAATCACACATACCACTGCAAAGCACTTAAAACTTGCCAGCACTGAAGTCATTCCTCTTGTTTTTGGATGGCTTTTTGGTGAGCTTGGGTCACACGGCTCGGGAGTTCTCAAGCGCTGTTCAGAACTTGGTGCCGGTCTCCACCATCGTGGATGCCCTCCTTTGTGCACTGCGCTCTACACCGGAGGAGCGCTCACGTTCCGAACACGTTCGGTTCGTTCGGGATCGATTGGTGTCTCGGTGTCCTTTGGTTAGGGGGTTAGGGGTAGAGTGTCTCACGAGTCATCGAATTGTTGGGAGAGATGCCCGTATTGTGAGGTCGATGCGTTTGAAACGCAAACATTTGCATACATTTGCAGGTGGAAAACCACCTCCTGTCGATCGAATGAAAAGGAATGACATCTCGATCTCCTGAAGCCGGTCGCCGACATGGTGGACATGGTGGACCCCTCCACCACTCGGCTTTTTGCAGGATGGCCAGAAGGTCCTGTAATTGGGATATGTAGTATGGCATTCAAGAACACAAGTTACTGGTTGATTGATCGGAGGGCATCCGCGCTACATGACCAGGGTGTTTCATTCAGCAAGTCGACCGAAATCGACCGAAATCGACCGTGCTCTCGAGGTTGCATGGTCCGCCCAGTGTGCCCTGTTTCACGTGGCCCGGGCGGCCTGGAACTGGCGATGGTCCGCAGTGCACAGCCTGCCATGCAGGACACGGCAGGACAAGTCCATGGGAACCATTGGGAACAGTTTCATACCCGCCAACCTGCCCACATCGCAGGTTGCTTTTACAGTGAAGCCAGCGAATCGCGGAGCAATCCTGAAGAAATGCACTTGGGGCTTTGATCATGCAGCTTGATTGGCCATTTACAATTCCGGAACGTCACGACTGTTCAGCTCTTGGCCGCACCGTGCCCCCTTTTTTGCCATCATCGCCGAACAGCATTGCCAACAAAGCCGAACGGCAAACAAGAAGGGAACACAGTGATACAAAGAGGACCTTGCTCCCCTTCTTCCCCATTATCTCAGTGTTTACACACGGAGGTTTTCTCGTTGGTTCACCTGTTCAATCGTGGATCAGCAATTCGTGCATTTTGAAGAATCCTTATTGCACACCAACTTGGATGGTTGATTCACTGAACAACAAAACATATAGGAAACTATTCTTATACTCTCTCTCTCATCTTATATACAATATATGTATGTGATGTACATGCAATTGTATGCAATATATTATAACTATAGATGTGCATACACCTTTGCCTCAGTGAATCACCAAGCTGCAACGTCGTGGTCACGTGGCCCACATCGATGTCCCAGGTGCGCTGCCACCAGGCCGAAGCGCAGAACGTGAAGGAAGCCACGCGAGGACCGATGCTCCGCCGTCGTCACATCGGACCGGGTCAACGGGTGGACTTGCTTCGTCCAAAACTGTTCAGCCAAGACGTGAGGGTCAAGCAAGTTGTTGGTTTGGACATCACAAATTATTCAGATGATTCATGATATTTCATGCTTAGAATCCTTCGCATCCAAAAGGACAAATTTTGGAGGAAACGTGTGCAGGATGTTGCGGATCTGACGGCCCCTGGGATTGAGGCTGCATTATAGGCTACGGCTTACAGCCGCACCATAGAGTGCCTGAAACTCCTCAGTCCTCAGTTGGTCAATCTGAGTGGCTTTTGTGGGTCAGGGAGCATGCCAGGATACTTTTCCTAGATGTCATGTCATGGAGCTATACAGTGCTATATTATACATATGTAATATGTATTATGGTTGATTCACTTCCATGCCAATGACCACGTGAGCCTGCTGACTGTGAGAAAGTGATCTATAATGGGAGGAACGGTCTTCCTGAAGGTCGAATGTGGATACACATGGGATATCATGGGATGACTTGCCAAGCTCATGGGGCCGATGACCAAACTACACCCTCCCTCCTCAGATACCCTCATTGAGCCATCTGACGGTTGGCCAGCTTGGTCCGCATGACAGGCAAAATCACTCGCTTGCTGCTGGATGGGCAGACGCCCGCGCTCTCAACAAAACAAACTTGTTCGGTGGGAGTTTTTACTGCCTGGGCCAAGCTAAGGTTGTTTTGTTTGAGGTCACCGACTATCTATCGTCTATGAGACAAATGATGGTGATGGTGTGTTGATGAAGATAGACCATAGATGACCTTTGAAGGATCGAAGCTTTTCTCGTTCCACTCGTGTCGTGTTCCACCGTCCTGCTGGTGAGCGCTTGAGCCCGGCTTGCATCGGAGTCCAGTCGTGGCGCTGAGGAACTTCCCATTGTGCCTGCCAGAGCTCAACGAACGAGCCGCCAAGGCGAGCGAGCGTGGAAAAAACGGGGAACATGAGTGGAGAATGTTTGGTGCTCCGGAGAAAAAGACACGTCCCAGGCATTGGTTTGAGACATGTGTGTCCAATTTGTGTGTATGGGCTAGCCGTCTTAAAATAGAGAATGGTAGGGTTCATTGGTTGACGAGTGAGCACTACTGTCAGTAGAAGTTTGTCCATCCATGGGAAGTCGGTATATTTTGGTGTATTTGCAGGTGGAACATGTTGAGTATACATGAATTTGGTCATGCGATGATCCACCGCTGAATAGATCCAGGTCTTCATATGTCTTGATGAGTCAGTTCGATGTTGATCAGAATCATCATGAATGATCAAGGTGCGTTTATACAAAAGTCAGTCTCAAGTAGATACAACTAGAGGATGGCACAATCCAAGAATCCCTATATATTAAATGCATGTTTCTATTCGCTGGCTCGGGGCTCGGATGACTTTGGCTCGATACCGTCAGTCCAGCAATAATGGAAGTGGAACATGACCCCTTGGAAGCATACTTTTCCCTTTATGGACAGGGTTTTTTCGAACTTCCATGTTTGTTGGATAGAGGTGTTTGTGCATTCCTTTTCGCAGACCGCATTCTGGCACTTGCCGTCTCCAGGGCTATGAAGCGGCCCTGCGGGTCTCCGTGGCATGGGGACCGAGACACTGCTGTTGGAGGGGGCGCATTCCGCTGAAGGCTCAAGGGTTGGTAAAGCTTAGCTTCGTCAAAATGGCAAAGCGCTGATCGGTGGCGGTGTATGCGGGACTGAGAGAAGGATTTTGTTTCGTGGTAATACTGGGCTCCCTTCATCTCCCTCCAACAGACGATTAAGACATAGCAAGTAAGAATATGTTTCCTCGGTAACCTCTTCTAACTCATGTAAGATAATTTAGGCCTTTGGTCAGGCATCCTGTCCTGGCTTGGTCTTTACCTAGGCTAGGCTTTAGACATGATGATCCGTCGTCTGCACAAACCACGATGCTTTTTTCGGACACCTCTTCACGAATCCACAACGTCTCCGCCCGAGTCTAGCACTGTCGTGCTCGCTCCCTTCCGCTCCGTTCAGGTCCGTTGCTTCTTCACCCAACTGCAATCCTTGACGCTCATCGACCCTGGCTACGGTGAGCATTGGGAGACCCAAGACCATCTGGCTCTGTCGGAGCCCCAGGTGAGGGTTCCGGCACGGCGGCATGCCAGGAGTCATAGACTCCTTGGAGTCGAGGAGGCGGCCAGTTTCGGTGGCCGATCGGAGGACCATCGGTCACCTGAGCTCCAGAGTTTGATGCTTTTGGATGGCGTAGTTGGTTGACTCATTGCGTAGATGTGAAGAAGATGAATATATCATACTATATCAGTCATGGAGGTAGGTTGTGATAGGTTGTGCCCCAAACATATCTCTCAAGGCAGCAATGCGAATCGATTCCAACAAAGCATGGCTGGGTTAGGGTTGCTTCCCAAACATTGCCAAGCAAGGAACGCGGTACTTTGGAACGCGGTACTTGGAATCCATCAGACAGATCGCAAATCGATCCAACCTGGAGAATTCCAGGTTGGGCGGCTTTGCACAGCGCTTGGGCAAAAGCCTCTACAGCCTTCAGTCGCTGAAGGCTTGGTGTTGGATGTGTTTTTATCATTTGGGCATGGGTTGAAGGCCCATTCTAAGATTTTTTGGACAGCCATGTGTTTGGGATGTGTGTGAGGGTATTTGTGTCAGACATGACTGACTACATTCTGGTTGGGGAGGTATCAAATTATTTGGGAGTCTTGAAAAAGCCTTCTCCTTGGATCTCAATGCCCATGGTTGGGACAGACGCCAGGGTGGAATGATAGGAAACATGGACAGTCCGGCTCAAAAAGAGTCAAACAGATACATTTTGTCCCTTGAGGCTGCTTTCCTGCTTTCCTCCATGGGCTGTGTCAAGTATGCAACTTTGGTAGCTGGGCTTAGTCTCGGTGGCAGGTGCCTCCAAACAACGGCCTGGCCTCCAAATCACAAATTGCATCGGGTTGGAAAGCAACCACAATGAAAGTCGGAGAGGCTGAGAGGCCAGACAAACAGAAACGACAAGCATCACCAAGCTGACAGGTGGATTGAAATGAACCAATGACCCGTGCTGGCAGTTCCCTCTATATATATAACTCTCACATACTCTTTTCGAAAACACATTGATTTCGACCCGTTCGCTCCATACGCTTGGAAAGACACACGAAGTCGCTTGTGCGAAGAAAAGAAGGCCCACCGACTGATCACCAGCCCAACTTGCCGATCACCTAGTGGGGCCCACCATTATGGTCCAGTGATGGCCACCTCTATAGGTTCCTTTCTTGTGACACATTTGCTGACCGATCGATTGACCATTTGTGTGTTGACCGATTGATTGATCATTTTCTTTCTTGCTTTTTTGATTGACCATTTGCTGCCAGGTCTTTGCTTTTGAGGACGAACCGGGAGCAGCAACGCTTGAAACAGTGCTGCTAAGCAGTGCTACGTCGTACGTTTTTTTCGCATGCCCCCTGACCGCCTCATGGAGGGAGGCGCCATCATTGGATGTTTGAGACTCATCAAGACAGCACGGCTTTGCTCAGTCTCGCTTCGGAGGAGCCGCCAAAGTTTCGGAAAGACCATATGTTTCGGGGATCTGAATGACTTACTTATGTGAATGGGCATCTCACTCTCTGGTGCTCGCAGGGCTTGAGTCTTGACTCTATTCATCAAGAGCAGATTCTTCTGTATGATATATATATATATATCATATAACTAAAATTAGTATCCAGCTTCTATACCTCTGAAACTATAATTGTATCTCCAGCCACGGAAAACACGTTTTGCGGGTGGACGCCTTCAAACCATGGGGGGTGAGATCACCCGTGTTTTGGCGAAGAGACCTTCCAGGTCCAAGTACCGCTCCAGAGGACTGTGCCATAAAGCTCATCTTGCCCGCGCTCTGGATGCCCAAGTTGAGGCCATGGGGGACTCCCGGGTGTCACTGGTCCACAACGAACCCGCAGGTGCTGGCTGCAATGGGATCCTAAGCTTTCTCGTTACCATGGTAGGGGTCTCGTTAGCAGGGTGTACACCGGGGACCTTAGTTAAGTCCCACGAACGATGGCACTTTCCTTCAAAGTCGCCTGTTCAGCCAGTAAGCCACACAACAAGCGCCTGAATTACCTTGAGTCGGTAAGACTTACTTCCCAACCCAAACCAGCTTAGACTCTTAGACAAACAGCCACCAAGAGTCTACAGGTAGCACCGTGAAGGAACATCTCAGTTCAAGGTTGCACAGGCTGTGAACTCGCCAAATGTGCAGAATATGTGAACAATATCATTTTACTTCCCACAGTATGTACTGTATGTTTTTTAATGTTATATACTTTTGTAATTATATGATCCTGTGAATCCTGTGTATATGTGTGGGGTGTGTGAACCTCTCGGAGGGGCAAGCCTGCAGTTGGTGTGATTGAAGGCTTGCTTGAAGCACTTGCTACTGTAGCCCGCGTTGCGACGAAACCTGACGAAGTTCCGCTCTTCGCTCTTCTGCATTGGTTTCGCAGCCCACGGGCCGGTGCATCGCTGAACCGGCACCTCACCCGAACCGGTCACCTGAGGTGGCAGCTTTCCCCGCCCGCCCAGGTCGCTGAAGATGGTGGCGTGTTGCCAGCAGCGGCAATCTCAAAAGGCGAACCCGTCGACTCGATCCCGTCACACGGTGAGTTTCGTCGCCCGAGGCGACGACGGGTTCGGGAGTTTGGAAGGGTAGGTGTTTATTGCTTGTTGCCCTTGGAATCTGATCAGTGCCATTTTTGGGGTTTCAGAGCAAACTAATCAGCGATGGCCATGGCCATCCATGGCCCATTCAAAACTCAATTTTCCTTTGCAGAAGTTGTGGAGATTCCAATGAAATATGATTCCAAATGAGTGCATTTTGGGTGGCACACTGGTGTCCCTACCTAGTTTGATGAGGCAATTGGACAGAACTGGTCAACTCAGATGTTCCAAGGTTCGGGCAAATTCAGCCAAGATGCAACTCTGGAACAGCTGTGACGTCGTCTGGTTGGACACGCCATGTCGACCCTGCGGGTTTCGGCCCTGTCCGGCGAAGCTGTGGAGCTGTGGAGCCGTGACGAGCTGCGTGCCATCGTCGAAAGTGAGCAACCGGTGAGGGAACTGAAGAAGTTCCTGGCAGCTGCAAAGAGCACCTCCAGATTCCGGCTCAGACTTCTAGACACGGAGAGTGAAGAGTACCACGACGATTCTCCTTTGACTCTGCCACTGGACCTGAGGATGGTGATCTTGAACTTTCAACCTCTTGATGCAGTCGCCACTCAAGACTTTGTTTCCGCATGTGCAGAGAACTCCTTGACGAAGGTTACACAAATGCTTGAATCTCTACAAGATCCCAACGCGACAGTCGGAAAAAAAACGAACAGCCATGCATGCAGCAGCTGGGAATGGTCATTCAGAAGTGGTAGAATTGCTGTTGGAGGCTGGCGCCGAAACCAATGCTGCAATGCAAGATGGAGAAACAGCTTTGCAGCTGGCAGCGGCTGGTGGCCACTGGGAAGTAGTGCAATTGCTGCTTGAGAGTGAAGCTGACAAGAACGCTGCCATGCACAATGGTGAAACAGCTTTGCATGCCGCAGCTCAGAAGGGCCACTCGGATGTTGTACGATTGCTCTTGCAGTTTGGCGCTGACAAAGATACTGCGACGGGAGTCGGCACGACAGCTTTGACTTGGGCAGCTGGGAATGGCCACTGGGAAGTAGTGCGATTGCTGCTTGAGAGTGGGGCTGACAAAGATGCTGCGACCCATATCGGCGCAACAGCTCTGCATGCAGCAGCGGTGAATGGCCACTCGGAAGTGGTGCGATTGCTGCTTGAGAGTGAAACAGACAAGAATGAGGTGATGCACAATAGCATGTCAGCCTTGCATTTAGCAGCGCAGAATGGCCACTTGGACATTGTGCGATTGTTGTTGGAGGCTGGAGCTGAAAAGGATGCTACATCCAAAATGGGTGAAACAGCTTTGCATGCTGCAGCTCGCAATGGCCACTTGGATGTTGTGCGACTGCTATTGGATTCTGGCGCTCGGAAGAATGTTACATCCAAAGCTGGTGCAACAGCTTTGCATGTAGCAGCGCAGAAGGGCCACTCACAAGTGGTCCAGTTGTTGGGGAGGGGCTGAGCAAGATGTCACCACTCCCAGTTTTGCAGAAGCCGACGTTCATGCGTATTTTGATACCTGGATTGGTAGCCCTGGTGTGTCGAGTTTTGTGGGGCTTACGTGGAAATGAACCTTCAAAACCCTGAGGTATTTCGTTGCACAAAATTCTGAGGCTCCGCAGAAGAAAGTAGATCTCCTTTTCTGCACGCCGATCGACCGTTATCAGGGCACCCTGATGGAACCGGATTAGCGCAGCGTCTCTGTATGTGATGGACTCGCTGTTTCGGCTGTGTTTTGGACCAGTGCCGCTGGCAGCCGACGATTGGGTGGATTGGAGGACCGTTGATGGACGCACTCCAATTGATGCACTCCTTGACAATCCTCATGGATGTGGAAAGCCACGTAAAACCACCGGCTTGTGAACATTTGTTGGGATAGAACTAACTGATTGTGAGGAGTGCATCTAGGTGAAAAAGCACATCAAACAACATAATGAGCCATTGGATTTGTTTGATTCCTGGGTGGTGAGGGGTGCATCGCGATGACTGGTACAAGCGAGCGATGAAAACTTTGGGAAGGATATGAATCTGAAAGATGATCTCGCAGTGGGGGTGTGAGACTTGCGATGACTTCGATTGGTGGCTCCACTCAGCAACGGTCACTCCTTTCATAAGAATTGCCAAAGAAGACATCCTAAGTCAAAACGATAATTCAGAGGGAAGTTCTCAAGACACATCCCCACATCAGCCAACCTCACCTCTAAATTGTCTCTTCACAATATGGTCAAGATCAGAATCCACAACATCACATCCTTTTTCACATCGTTTCACCGAAACTAAGAAGCCCTTCCCTTGTCGTTTGGAGGCCATCCTGACGCTCATCAACCGGAACCGCCGAGGGCCCCAGATGGCGAAGAGCGCTCCTCAGTAGCTCCTTCTCAAAGGAAACCCTATGCAATCTTTCCATGGTCTTTCCTTTTCCACCAGTAGTTGACGAAACAATGACCATAATGTCCAGCAGTGTCACCATTCAGCAGTTCAGGATCATACTGTAAGATTCTATATTCCTTGCTCGGCCTCCTGGGTCTCGCCAAAACTCCCGCTGGGCTGAGTATGTATGTTTCGACTGGGGAGCTCCGCTCCACACCCCTTGGAGCAACCCTGGCGATACTTGCCCCTTTTTCATCCTCTTTTTTCCAAGCTCGATGGATGTGTCAAGAGCGAGCTAACAGAGAAATGACATCATGTCAACAAGCACCAACCAAGCCTTGACAAACTCCATTGCTTGCTTGTTTGGTTTTTGTTCTAAGTCTATATTCTTTCCATTTCTTTTAGCCAGATGAACTTCCACGATCGCATTTGATCGCAGTAAACCTCCTTTTCAGCTCCGAGGATCGCAGTTGGAGGAGCTGGAGTTGAACCTCTGGACTGATCTCATCGAGGCGCCAGTCTCTTCGTCGTCGGCCGGGGTGATCCTCCTGCTGGAACGAGCACACACCTGGTGATTAAATGGTGTTGTTTCGTGGAAGACCTTGGAAGACCCAGTCACCTTCTGAACTCCCAAATCGAGAGGGCTGCTGGTTGGGACGACACCTTAAGGCAGAAACCTAGTAGAAGCACTGCACCTACGGTTTTGTCCGAGGCAGAGGATCCCGTGCGGGAACTCGAGCTCCTCCCCGAGGCGGAAGCGTCGCGGAGCCGGCGTCGGTTGGGTATGCTTGTTGCGAGGCAGTTGTTTGTTTCCACACTTCCAGGGTGAGGACAGATTGAAGGGATTCCAAGGTCATTTCATGTGGTAAGCGGTTAGATGGAAGAAGACAGAGTTTTGTTTCACCCATTCGTTTCCACATGAGATTCTCCAAAAAACACATGGATCCCCCAAGCATTTCGTCGAAGAGTAGGTAGTTGTTACTACGCTGGTTCAGAGTCCATTTGTTCCTCTGTTCAGAATGCCTTTTTACTCATTTTGCTCTTTGGTTTTTGAATCAACTTTCACTTATCCTTATCCTGGTGTTCGAGGCTTTCGGTGACATAAATTAAACATGAGGGGGTCACTTCAGCTTCCCTTGAGCCACCTGTGCCAGGTACGGCGCTTGTCGGTCCGCGTGCCTCTCCTTCCGGTGCGCTGGGGGCGGATTGCCGTGACCATGGCCGTTCGCCAGTAGACCGACAGGTCGACCACGGAATATGCGGTTCATTCCAAAAGACCAGGTCCTACTGGTAGTGTTGCTATAGTGTGGCTACTAGTAGCGATGCACTTGTTACTAGTAGCAAACCTTGCTCCTACTAGTATGGCCAGGAGCTACTAGTAACGTCCTTGCTCCCAATAGCGATGCCCTTTGTTACTAGTAGCGATGCACTTAATAAGTCCTTTAACATGGTGGGAGATTATCAACTGGTCCACCCGGGGTCTCAATGGAGTCCGCCCGGGTGTTCTCAACAAGTCCCAAGTCACCAGACCGTTAACGCTGCACAGGACATGGAGAGATGTTCTTCCAAACCCAAAGATGATCAATGTGTTCTCACTCGCGGATGTGATAGATTCCCAATGGGATGTTTCTCTTCTGTGAGTATCAGCTGGCTTTGGATCCAAGCTGCAGCTAAGCAGCTTCAAAGGTGAACATTGAGGTGGAAAAAAAGGTTTGGGTGTTCAGCAGGAAATCCAGTTACAGTAAAACCAAAACCTTACGGTGTTACAGTAATGATGTATCCATTTGGATACACACTTTGCCAAAAAACATCAAAAAACGATCGACACTTTGCCACCCATGAGTTCACACGGCGCTTGTCGGATGGACACCTCACGCCGTCTCGACGCCTTCGCCAGGCGTGGCAGCACTTCGGGGACCTTTGCCCCTTGCTGGAGGACACCGGAGATCCGAAGAGTCGCACCAAAGGACCAAACCCGACCAAACCCTTCCGGTCAGGCGAACGTTCCCTTCCTTTTGTGTGCGCACATGTGTGTGTGTGTGTGTCAGATAGGTGACATGCATTGCAGATACATTGTGATAGCTACTTCAGGTGATTGACCCGTTCACTATTTTTGGAACGACGGCTGCAACGGCTCTTCGTTCCCAGAAATACAAAATATATTGACATCCCATATGCAATAGTTCAATGTATACAGCTCATATAGTCCATGTAGTTATGTTGATGGCATTTCGGTGGCCGTGTGCATATGCCCATCCGTGTCCCGCTGCGCCCAAATGTGAATAGGCTAAACTCTACACATACATGCAGGTTGTGCGCAAGCGTTCTACCCCACTGTTGAAACGCTGCGTTCTACCCCACTAAAGAGGACTATGATTAACGTTTCATGGGCTACTTGTTCAGTGCATTTCCCCAAACCTCACAGGATTGCCGCTTCCCCGCAGGAGCTCAATTTCCTCTATGACCAGGACGTGGCGCTCAATGCGGCGGAGCCCCTGATGGATGTGGAGGATCCCAGTGAGGAGGAGGAGATCTTGGTCCGGGGAGCCCAGTTTTGTCCGGATCGGTGAGGGGCAGGTGGCCACCCGACTGAGCCGACGGGGAGGGAGGGACGGTCCACCGGTTTGTGAAGACAAATCAGCTTTACAAACAAGGATCGATCCTGCAAGCTATTCGAAAACAGATGAAAACAGGTGGTGTTTGTCGCGCTGGTCCTTCTCAATTGCTTCTTCCGTGAGTTCTCACCTTGAAACCATGCGTAGGTTGTGTGTTGCGCGTTTTGGAATTCTGCCGCAACTTGGGAGCTGAAACTGGATGAGCTCAAAGCCTCTCTTGGCCACGAGCCGGGTCGGTTCTATTTTCTTTTGCGCCCAGCCCTGTGAACTGAAGTTGAAGCAGCTTGAGCAGGACGGCTTGCCAAACAGGGTGATCAACTACTATGCTCTCTCACGGTTTCTATGCTTTTCGTGATGGCTTTGACCTGAACTGTTCCCTACGGGTCCTACCGCACTTCCGGGCGCCCAAGATGGTCGGGCCGCAGCGTGCCTCGCCGAGGCACATCGGACCAGGCACATCTACAGAGATGCTGTTTGGAGCCTAGTGGTGCTGAAATCTCCAGGTCTGACCTGAAGCATGCTGGGTGGTTGAGATCTGAGCCCTTTTTCATTCGTCGTGTGAACGGATTAGCCTACCCAGTCTTGAGTCCTAAAATGCCTCAAACTTGGACCATTGACCTTCATCCATTCCTTCAGTTTCCTTCTCATCAACCCTTCAGTTTCCTTAGCAGCTAGGCAGGGCAACCACAACAAACAATAGCAAACAAAAGACAGTGCGGACGACCCAAAAGAACCACCCTTTGCCGCTTCAACCCGGATGGAATCCACCATTTGCCGCTTCAACCGAGGTCCGTTTTGCTCAGGATCTGCACCGGGGAGGTTTCCGGGAGCTGGCGGCCAGCTGCCCCAAGCTGCGAGTGCCCTGGCTGTCATGGCTCGGTGCTGGTTTGAAGATGGGTCTACTGTCTACTGTTCTGGATGCTTGTGAATGCGTTCTTCCTGCGAGCAAACCGCTTTTTTCTTTCAGCAACGCATGGTATAACTATGTGGCTTTGATTCCCATAGGAATTGTGACAAAAAGGATCATATAAACAGGCGCTTCCATGTCTGAGAGTTTCAGCAAAGGTAGAAGTTGCAACCCGATTCTCTTGCAACTGATCTCTCGGTGGAAGCCCAGGGGCCCTGTGTTAGGAGGTTTGGAAAGAACCTCCCTAGAAGAGGCAACTCGTCCAATGTCCGAAGAAATCCAAACCTGCTCAATGAATGGAATGGATAACACTTTGGGGTTGGTTTTCCCACTCAACAAGAACAGGTCTTCAGTTCGGTGAACCTTCATCTTCCGAAAGTGAGGGAGTCAGGTTCACCCTGGCGGCATAGCTTTGCTTGGTGCCAAATTGGGCTCCAAAACGATGGTTCCGCTGGGCAGCACATGGCAGCACCAATCTGTAGAGCTTTCAAGTCTTGAGGACCTGAGACCCTTCCCGACCCTTCCCTTGTTGCTTTCCAAATGAAAGACCTCAAAGAGGAGCCCGCTGCAGTCCAGTGGCCACTGCCGCACGGCCGAAACTGAAAGGTGTATACGGCATTCGGAGGATCTCCTCGTGTCTCTTTGTGAAGCTTCATAAATGTGATCCGCTGTGTCATTCGAAGCTACCTGTGGCTTTACAGGTGATCCGCTTCAAGATGTGGGACAACTCCTTCGGCTACCACAGCGCCCCTGCGAAGGATGGGGCGACCGAGTTGGGGTGACTTCCGACCAGAGAGACCACCTGACGCGCATCACAAGTGACGCCAAGGAAACTAAAATCCTTCTTGTTCCTAGTAGCAAGAATTCTACTTAGTAGTATACATATTAGTACACAATGCTTTTTGTTCCTAGTAGCGATGCTCTTGTTACTAGTAGCTTCTTGTTCCTAGTACGCCAAGGAAACTGAGGCGCTGAATGGCTACCTACAGATCAGATGATTCCAGTCTTCGGATCCGTTCGCAGAACCGAGCCACAGCCTGCACGCTTGGACATGATATGTTTAGTCGCCGAGATTCTTGCAGACTTACTGACTTCGGCTGTGTCTGTACAGGTCACCGCTGGTGGCTCTCAATATTACAAAAGCGCAGAGAAAACCAACATCGACACCCTACATGTTGCCTTTTGTGTCAGACCATGTCGGACCTTCAGATGGATCTCGGCGCGTCGCGTGACAGGAGCAGGTTTGCATCAGTTGGAGGCAGCGGCTTTTTGTGGTTTCGTGTGAAAAAACGCCAATAGAGATGATTGACTGGCAGCTCGTGAGGCTGGTGAAACAACCCTAGATCAAAAAGTGAATCCAATCCCACCCTTGTGATCATTTGTGAAGGTCACTTTAGCGTTTGAATGACCCTGGGAATAGATCGCTCAGTGAATCCCTACCAAAAAGATCCAAAGAGCTTTGAAATCTCTTCAGGCATCACCACAGACCACGGATCTAACGCATTTCTCACAATGTTCTCACAGATGGTCGCCCTGCGGCTCACGTGTCAACATCTACAGATCGGGCAGAGCGTACGCAGGATCTTTACCTACCCGGTTCAAACATTGCTTTCAGAGTCTGTAATTATTGATAAAGGACTTGCCATGAGTGAGGCTGATCAGAAAGTGGAGTTCGCGCCACTTGTATGTGTCCAAGCTGCCCGTGCTGCAGGATATCAGAAATCTGTCCCAGCCCCTCTTGAATAAACAAGATCGTGACAATATCACGGCGCGAAACAACATGCCATCCTGCTTTCTTCGGGAACAAAAAAACACAAAAAAACCACACACACAACACAACTCCTCAAATCGAACGAAGTGTGGAACATGAAACCCAACGAAACCCAATTCCTTGTCTCAGGCGTCCCATGGTCTCCCTGTCTTTGGTTTCTGTCCAGGCGATCGGATCACCCCATCAGGCGGGAGGGCGGGCCCGGAAAGCATAGTGAGTATAGCATAGTATAGCTGCCCTTCAAGCAGATTGACAGTCTCACAAAATGAAATCATGACAGCAGTCATGACAGCATATATCATTTGGTGTAGGAAATGATGCACCTCTTTATAGAATCCATTTCTGTTGCTAAACATGGCTGTATCTTGGAGGTCGTGCCTGACAGAGGGATCAGCAAATCTCTTCCCCCTGGGCACTTCTATTGTTTTGGCATTTAGGTTAGGTCAACTTGCATGAGCCAGAAATTTTGGATTGAAAGATGAAGACAAGCTTAGGGTGATGGGGCTCAAAGAGGCCTAGTCAGGCTTAGGATCCAGGAGATCATTGCCTTTTCAATGTACAGGTTTCTTGAGGCAAACATGTTCAATGAGCAGCAGCTGCATTAAACATCAACCTTAACATAATAAAGCTCTTTCAGTTGCTGCCAGTATTCTGGAATCAGGCCCATCTAACCGTCATCATCCACTGAGACCAGGGTGCGGGACAGGTGCAACTTCAAGGTATCCACTCAGAACATCTGAGACATATACCATGGTCACCGATCATATACCCCAACGTTGACCGAATGGTGACTGAAGCATATTTCATTATGAACATATATGAACTATGATGATATATGTCTCAAAATCGTGGCTCAATGGATCTGCGTCCATGTTCCTTAGCCATATGGTGCATGTATGTTTTTTTCGATATATGCTCCAAGCACCCCCAGCCGTGGCGCCGAATGCCTCGGCCTGGCGGAGCTCGTCTTAAGGCCCTTTGCCCGGAACGCAGAGGAGAACAACGCCACCCGGACCATGTTGCAGGCGAACGGATGAAGGAAGCGAAACCTTTCAGTTGGAATATTTTGGATATCTTGAAGACATCAAGACACCTGAAGGAAACCAGAACCTCAACTGGGTACCCAATATACTGAGTTCCATCAATTCATGGACCAAGCGTGAAGTGTGTTGGACCAAGTGAGCCCGTCCATGGACCATGATGGACTAAGTCTTCATACAGGTGGATGGGACACAGACACAGTTGTGTTTGTCGGCGATAGACGAACGATGACTCCAACTGGTGGTGAAGGAGACTGAAGCCTCCAACTCTGAAGATAGGAAAACGCTTGGAGACAGATATGTTTTGGTGGAAACGCTTGGAATCCTGCGAAGTTTGGAGACAGCAATCCTCGAGGCAAGCATTATCTGTGAGTAGAACCCCACCCTAATGGGCAAAGATAAAGCTACGCTACCTATCTCCCTACTTCCCTGCCTCCCACCCAACCAACCATAACCAACCCAGGAATCTCCCCAACCTCATGGGTGACTGTGAACATCTCTCCCGACTTCTTTTGTATCGTCCAGGCACGTGCAGAGGTGGCACCGTTGCGGAGCTGGACGGAGGAGGAACTGGAGGCGCTGCGCAGAGTGCAAAACGAAACACGCGCCAGAGAGCTATCGGTGGAAGGAGTTCCGGTGGCTCTCAGAGTTGAGTCGATCAGGTTGTAGCCGAGCCGAGTCGATCAGTACCGACCTCTTCCAACGGTGAAGTATAGAAGTAGACGTGCCCCATATTGGACCGCTCACCCGAAAGAACGGCGCGGTCCACATGCGGTCCACATATCTTCCATTTTGGACCGGGAGACACGATGGAAAGGGCTCGAGACTTCCAACGGCCTGGTCAAATCATCGGATCATCGCTGAAGGACATATATAGTTCTTGTACGCGAGGATGAACAAGACCTTACTCTTACTTTTCATGTTTCCTTGATTGATGTGGAATGATCCTCCCTGTTGAGGATTGCGTGGAATGATGATGATTTTTGAAACCTATCCTTCTAATATCAGTATCCTTAAATATTCTGTTACCAACCGCCAAAACGTGCGATGACCAATTTAGAAAGAGCGGACGCTCTTAGAGCGGTGGCAATTATCAGGAATGTTGCTGAAACCAGCAAACAATAGGCCTGCCTCAAAAACAAAAACCATGCCGCCTCAGTGTTTTAAATATTCTCAGCTATGTTGCACGTGTGCTGGAGACTGAAAAAAGCGATAGGCCACCCTTCAAAAGACGATAGCCCTCATGAAAGAACATACCCTGCCATCCTTGCCCAGAACTAGGTCGACATTCCTACGGTGTTTTGTATATGCATGCACAAAATAGTTTGTGATACATAAACGGTTTTCTGGATTTGGATGCCACAGCTGGACAGTTCCGGCCTTGGATGAATCATCCAGCTGATATGTTCTCTTTGATTCTCGGTTTGCTTCTGACAGGAGGGCCGAGATATCACAGAGGACGGGTCCCTTGTTTTGGCCCCAATGGGTCAATGGGATGGGTGACTGATTGCTACTACTCGTAGTAGCGATGCACCTTGCTACTAGTAGCGATGCACCTGTTCCTAATAGCGATGCGCTTCGTACTACTAGCTTGGTAATTTTAGGGCTGGGACCAACCGACAACCAGGTGGTGAATCCTTCTTGGACAGCCGAATGAACCGTGTCGCTGTCGAGATCACTCCAATCGGCGGACCGGGTAAATAGCCGAGGATGATCAAACTCAGGCAGGGTCCAATTAGAGTACTGAACATCATCACACAACTAATTAGCACTTGAAAGTACAATGTTTACTTGAACACTGGAAGTGCTCTTTAGTTCTGAATAATAGTTTCGCATCGAGTGAACTGATTAAGTGAACCTTCTTGGGAAGCATTAAGCGAACCTTCTTGAAATAGTTCCGGTTTCGTTTGCCTGGATCCAGGAGGATGCCCTGGCAGCAGCGGCACGGGTCATGCTCCAGGCAAGGGGATGCGCACGCGCACCCTTCTGAGACCTTTGCGCTTCTGATTTAGCAAGAAGCTACTATAGGAGCAAAGGGCACCGCTACTAGGAACAAGGACGCTACTAGGGGCTCCTGGCATCACTACTAGTAACAAGAAGCTGCTAGAAGCAACATAGGAGGCCATTTGGATTCCATCGCTCTTAGGTTGGAGGCCGTGTCAGATCCTATCCTTGCACGAGTCATCGAGGCATCCGCTGCGTTTTCCAGGCTCACGGCCCCAAAAAACCTGGTGGCCGAGCCGAATCCCGTTGAATGAAGCCGATAGACAGTCTTAGAATGTCTTAGACATGATAGAAAGGTTGCAGCTGTCTGAGGTCTTTTAAGGTCGTTATTTGCGCAGTCAGTGAAACTGATGTTGCTCATGGATGGTCCTTGTTTTTTCCACAGATTTTTCCGACACCTGGAAGAGTCGCTGCGTGTCGATCTGACGCGGTGGACATGGAGGAAGACGAAGTCTCCAGCGCCAGCGGCAGCGGCGATGAAGTCTCCAGCGCCGAGTCCACTAAGGCTGAGGCTTTGGAGCCAAATGAGGTCATTGAGGCTGAGATCGAGGCCATGCAGCAGAAGGACATGGCCTTTCTGGAAAGAATGGCCAAGTTTCAGAGGTGGGCCACCGGCGGGCTGGGCCTGTGTTGAACATTCTCTTAAGGAAACGTTTCAGCATAGATATCCATGAAATGCCCGAAATGGTGAGTAACCAGTGCCATTCACTTGGTGGAGCTAATCATGACCGACATTGAAGACAAGAAGGCGGCGGAATACTGTCTTTGTTTCATTGCATGTTCGATAACGCCCAAGAGCAAACAACATCACACATTAAATCACCTGATGTTGATCTGCAAGTGACACATAGTGACAACCTTTACAAGGGCTTTCAGGAATGCCCAAACGACCAGGAGTCTTTTCAGTTCACATCCGATTTGCACAGGTGGAGTGTCCAGTACCTGAAAGACCTGGATCGGGCCCTACTGAACAGCACCATCGACCTGGTGAGCACTTTGGGCACTTCAGCCCCCATGCGACTCGGTGGGTCCGCGGTGGACGTGAAGAGTCCGCGGTCGGCGGGTCCGCACTTGGGTCCGTTGGGGAACAAAGAGACCCAGTAACCAAGGCCCTTTAAGGGGTGTCTATCAAAAGCCCTTTAGAAGTTAAGGGTTGTCCATGAACCATCCCTTGTGGGTCCTAGTGTGGAAATGGATGCCGCTGCTATTTTCCATGCAATCGGTCCACAGAGTTCAGAGTGGAGAAGTAGTTGGAGAAGTCTCTCTGAAAAGAGAGCAACAGCTTTCTTGGAGCTGAAGAGCATTTCTGGTGTCTTTGGGACGCTTTTTGCAAGTAACAAAGTGCTTCGCTGTGGGACGTTCTACCAAGACATACGCAGTCAACAAAGTTAATGAGAAGAGAACGACGACTTTTTCACACTCCAGGACTTCAAGATGACCATATTAGAGAACCCCGCAAATGAAGCCACCCTTGAGGCTCGTGGATGGTGACGCGCTCTGTCGAGAAGTGGGTTGGGATCTCTACTGTGATTGGAACTATGGAGGGCAGCTGCTGCAGTGCATCTACTCCGCCGAGAAGATTTTGGCCGGACTGGTCGTGCGAGGTGCCCCTTCGGCGGGCGAGCGGTTCGAGCGGCGACACCGTGATCAAACACGGTGACAACGATGAAGGGCCGAAGGATGCTGTGAAAGGGTCCTTTCCAACAGAACGGGGAATCCTTGCATGCTTGCATTATCTTGCATTAGTTCCTTTTAGATCAAAAGAACATAAACATGATGGATCAAAAATACTCTGTAATCCTGAGTAGGTCCCCTAGTCCATTGGTCCCCTGGTCCTTTGGTGCCCTAGTCCGCTGGTCCCCTGGTCCCTTTCCTGGTCCTTGTCCTGGTCTGCTGGCCTCGTGGTCCATTGGTCAATAGTGGTCAAAAACACGAAAACAAACCGCTACCCGGTTGCCTTGGTCCTTGGGTCACTTTCTGAGTGCCCCTCATTGATGAGACAATGGGGTGTGAAGTTTTCGATGGTGATCTATTTTGTGGTGCCTTCTGAGTCTGATGGTTTTTTATGTTTGGTTCGCTCTGGGGAGGAGGCGCTGCTTCTCCCCCCAACCCCCCTCCAGCGCCAGAAAATCTGCAATGCTTTGCCAATGCGTCACCCGGATACCCATCGCTCACACAAAAAATGCACGCACTCGTCTAAGTCCTTTTAATTTTGCTTTTGTGTTGCAAGCGGTTGCAAGCATCCTTTCATTGTCCTGTGGTGGATGAGGCCCTCATTGATGGGGCACTAGGGGTTGTAATTTTCGATGATGATGTACTTGGTGGCGCCTTCAGCGTCTGGCGGCTTTTGAAATTTGTGCCACCCCACCGCACCACGAAATCTGCACTACTTTGGCCAATGCACTGGGCCTGCCACGACAGACTTTTTAAAGGTTACCCCGTCACCTGTCGCATATCCACACCGAATATCGCACGCCTTCGCCTAAGTTTTTTAACTTGTGTAATCCAAACGTCCTTTCATGGTCCCCTGGTCGCCCGCCCTGCTACTGTTGTCCCTTCCCTATAGTAACCTTTTACTTTCATTGCTCATTGGACATAATTTGTTGATCCCTTTATTTTTCCTTTTTGATCACCGTCATTTTTTCAAATCAGACACCCCGTTTTTATTCATCCAGGTGTGAAGAGGTTTTCGCAGGGCATCGCAGGACCAAGACTGTAAAATTGGGTAGTTATCTCTGTCAACCGACCTGTTTTTTTGAGTCTTTGAAGTTGATGCTGAGACAACATCATTATGGGCATATAGCTGGATCATGCTGGACTGTCGTTTGCAACGCTTATTAGTTCTAGTTTCTATTATTATTATTATTCTTATTGTTATTATATATATATACAGTATATATTCAGTTTGTTTAAACAACAACTAGTTTTGGAATATAATATTGCTTCATATTACTTCTGTTTCAGACGGTGCTTTTACTAATCATCTACTGGCTATCAACTTCACTTCTGTGAGGAGGAGTGCTTCAAGTAAGTAGACTTTTGACCCATGACAGGTGTGAAACTTCATTTGTTTTTCTTCGCTGATCATATGCACTGCCTGCCACAGCGACAGCGTTTGCTCTGGCTGTTGGTGTCCGAGCACTTCCGGAGGGCTGGTCATGCGGCAGTTCAGCACCATTTTTTCGAGGGATCGTGGCGCAGCAAAGGTCGAGGTGCCTTGTTGCAGCTCTTTGAGGATACAGATCCTTCTTGTGTCTTAACAGACTTTGGTCGTGGTATGCCGAACCTCGGGGTTGAAGACATTCAAATGGATGCATCTTATGTATTTCATTCAGTGCGATCTGGTGCCTTTGTTCATTGGCTCCGTTGCAACGACATGAACGTGGTCGATTTCGAGGGCCTCAAGACCGACGGGCCTCGGATTTCGTGCCAGCTGCTTGAACTTCGATCTCCCCAGGAACCGCCAGTTCCGGCATTCGTCGGCCGCCTCCCGTGGCCAAAAGAGAAAACTGAAGTGATCGTGGCTGAAGAACGTCCCGAGGTCGGAGTAGCCACTTCACTGAGGCTGACCGTTGGCCTTGTGGCACTCAGGAATCTTTCACCGTCTGACCAAGAAGGCTCGGTGATGGGTTTATGCGGGGTGTTTTGTATATGTCTTGCATGCATGGAAACAACCCCATTGGCCTCACGGGGAATCTCCGAAAAAATGGAGCCACTTCCACCAGAGCTGAAGATGCAAGTCTTCGTCAACAAGCTGCAGAATTGCCTGCTGCAGTCGTTGCTCACTGCCCAAGCGGCGCGGCCCAGAGAATTCGACGTCACACTGGCAGACATTTTCGATGGTCGACTTTTACACTTTCTGACCTTGAAGACCCTGGTGGGGAGGGCCAAATTGATAAGGGCTCAACATGAGTGGATGGTTCAGCATGGGTGAATGTCGTGTATTTTCCAATGTTCCTGATCTCTCTTGGGCTGTGTATTTTTGCTCACGCATGCCATCAGCTAGCTGACCCTTCGAGGCCAGCAAGGCCTCGCCAACTGCCTTTCCTGCCTGGGAGCTGGCAGACTCCCTATGGCGTCAGATCGTGCCCAACCTGCCGAGCCTCGCAGAGATGCTGCAGGGCTTGGCGCGTTGCGTCGGGCGAGACGGGCAGACTGAGGACGTTGTGAGCCAGACTGAGGGTGTTGCGAAGGGGCACAAAAGTCACCAAAGTGTCCTGGAGAGTCAATCTCATGATGTTATTTCTTTTGAGTGGTGAGATGTTCTCTTCTGGATTGAGTATATAGATCCTTGCGGCGTAGGATAGAGACCCAGGCGGTTCCTTGAGCATGTTTTTTGGCTGGGCAAATCTTGGGCTTCCACGCTAACTTGTTGAACTGTTTTCCCCAAAAGGTGTGTCTTTGCATTATTTTCTCGACCTTTCAAATTGAGCAGCGTTCTCCAACTAGCGCCTCCATCCAGGCGCATTGCTCACACTTGGAGAGATTTCAGGGCCGCCCTGGCCCAGACCATGCCCAGGGCCCGTGTGGCGTCGTCCAATTCGTCTCCCAACCGAGGTGAGGAGGGCTCGAGCTCGCTGAAGCAGGATCTCCCATGGTTGGCGAGCATTGGGATGAAAGGCGGGCCACAGCTGACTCTAGATCCGGCTTGCAAACTGCGACATGAGATAGGCATATATAGTATATATTTAATACATATATATATATGATATATGTTTCCAAAAAAATATAATATATATATATGATATATGGTTTCTATCCAACAAACACACATATATATAGTATAATCTAATATAGTCTAATATAATATAATATAATACAATACAATATAATATAACATAATATAACATAATGTAAAAATATATATATATGTATACAGTATATGTACTCAGCATATGTCTTGTCGATGTATGTATATATATATTACATACATCATGTCGCAGTCCACAGCTTGGG